TATTTTGGATAAATTATCTAGTATTGTAACCCACGTTTTGTTTGTTTAGAACATTGTTTAGAAACAAGTTCATGATAAACTTTAAAAGGTAAAAGTTCTTCAAGCGACGGCATTTGTCTTTCCTGTCGGTTCCGATATTGTACTAAATAATTCAGAAGTCTTTCAAATAAGATAGGATATGTAGGTAATAAATAAAAACACTGAGACGTAACAAGTGCATTTCAGTTACTAGCATATAAGATATCAGATAAGACAGTTTTAGTTATTTCTTAAAACATTATTATCATTTATGAATGATGCAACAACATTATTATCATTTTGCAGATACTAAAACCTTCCTTAAACATAAGCAAATAAATTCCGTTACACAAAATTTGTTATTGACTAATGAAGGTTAACTTTGTCTTTGAGACTAAAATTATTATAACGTCTTTGGAGAGACTTGCACATAGCAGTACTACATTCAATTACTTGGTAAAATTTGGAGGGATATATTAACACTTTTGTATGACCAAATATCAATCGGTTTACACATTTTATGATAGTGTAAGTCGCCAACGTAATATTTTTTGTCACCGAACGCTGTTGAAACAAAATATTACGCCTTGCATTAAGAATACTGAAATTACCGCTGTTTATAACAAGATACTTTGAAGAGGCAGAATGGCCGTCATTTCATAATTTTTTTTTAACTATTTCTGCATGACTCAATTGCACACAAAATGCAAATTATAATTGCGCGTTTCATACGTTATTTGCAATGTCAATTGTTACTTTTTGTCGTTACCATGCAACAGTTTCTCCTGTTGCACGAATGGGCATGCTCGACCGGGGAAGTACCTCGGGGAAAGTATCCACTTAACATCAGGTTAACATCAGGTTGACCGCCTGATCGTTTAACAACTTTTCACATTAAAAAAAATAAGAAAAATATGGAGTGTGTTTAATTGTGAACATCTAAGCTGCGTTAATAAGTTTTTTAAATATAGGTGCATATGATCCATTCCCGTTGTTAGTATTCACTTTAAAATTGAGTTCATATTTTTCTCTCCAGATATTCTAATTATTTTAACGGTATTAATTTTACGGTGGTAGGGCCACGCAGCAGCCTCGGCTGTTGCTCGAATGGGCAGGCCCGTCCGGGTAAATGCCACGACCCCACAGAAGTATAACAAATACTTTCGCGTTTCGTCTGGTGAGTGAAGTAGCCGGAGCCCAATTTTCAAAAGGTTGTCAACGCATCTTTAACCCTCGGGTGTGGCAGATATCCATGAACGGCGGTATTCACTTAACATCAAGTGAAACGTCTGCTCCTTTGACAACTTTTGGCATAAAAAAATATTAACATTTAAATATAAATGTATATATGTAAAAGTGTATATACGTATTTGTTATTATCTGTGCATTACTAGATTTGCAAGATAAGATATCTGCTGCTTATTTTACTGGTACCGCAATCACCTTGGCAGAAATTAGATATTGAATATTGAACACCTTATTTTAGCTGTAAATGATAACTTTATAGCTATTAATAGTTTATAAATGTTCTGATCAAACCTGTTGTGGTCCTGTGAGTTGAAAGCTCACTTAATGTAAAGTGCTTACCTGTGATCATCCGCAATACCGATTTGGTTGCAAATGCGTTAAAGCATAAAGATTTCTTTCTTTCTTTTTTTTTAAACATTGCCTTTACTTTAGGATAACATTATTCTGTGTTGTAAGGACGTTTTACAAACATAAATTACACGCGGACAAACACCGAGATGCGAAACATTTATCTGTAGGTCACACAAATAGTTGTCCCGTGTGGGAATCGAACCCACGACCCCCGACGTCGAAGCCAATACCTTGGCAACTGCGCCACGGAGTCATCAAGATGATCTAATAATATATTTATTAACCGATCTAATAATATATTTATATATTTATTAAGTACTAATTATTTACTTTTTTAGTACTAAGTATAGTAATATATAATAATATAAGTATAGTATATGCAGTATATATAAATATAGTATAGTAACTTTTAGTACTAAGTATTTAAGCAACTCACTAACGTAATTGGTATTTTTTTCATTGACTATTATAAAAGTTGCAATACAAAAAATATCTGCTGTTGATGTCTTACGAGTATGTTCGACAAGCTTTTCGCCCGCGACTTCGCTCGCGTTGAAGCCCTTAAATAAATATCTTTCAAACCTTTAAAACACTTTTTTCCAATTAAAAAGTAGCCTATGTCCTTTTTCAGGCTCTGGACAATTTGTGTACCAAATTTCATTTAAATCAGTTCAGAAGTTTTGGAGTGAAAGCGAGACAGACAGAAAGCGTTAGTTTCGCATTTATAATATTAGTACGGAAGTACGGAAACATACTTTAGTTACGAAACATACGTTAGTAAAGATTTCGTAACAAAATATTATATAAAGATCAATTGCATACAGTATGTGACTTAGAAATAATGTATTATCAGAGAAAAATATGAGTTGATTCCTTCAAAAGCTAGCTGTTATAGACAAAAAATGTATTTTAGCTTTTCATTATTCCTACAAGTCTAAGTTCAATTCGTGACGTCCATGTCTCGCGTTAGATGTGTCTAAAATGAAAAACCGAATACGATTTCGGCGCGAAGTGCTAATTCGGAGGCAACACCGCGTGCACCTGGGATTGGATAGGCCGTCATGACCTGACGCAGTCCGCACCAGAACGATCCGCCGTCAGATGACGTACCGCCATCCGAAATGCAACCCTAACCCCCCGCTTTAGGGCCACATGTGTGATTCGCGGCGGTAGATTCAAATTTGCCGCGCTATATTGGAAGCTGACATATCCAAATTCGGGGTGGCGATGCTTCGGAGCGTAAAATCACGTGTCAACCGCGAGTCCTCACCAGCGTTGTGCGATATACGAGTTTTCGACGAGGTTTTTTAATAATATGCGAACCGGAACATCGGGAACGGATAGTTTCAGATGTAATTTTCATCATAGTTTTTGATGAGTTTAGACGTTTATTTTTCATGTGCTGACTACATAAAGTTACTCAAAGCTGATGGACGTTTAAACGTTAATATTAGAGAGTTGTGTACAACACGAGCTCATCTCCGTTTATTAGATTAACATAACAATATCCACTCAATAGTTTTTTTAGCTTGTTCAACTTTAATCTAAATTGTTGTAAGAATGCTATGTTACGGAACTCAAGTTTAAATCAAATTATCCTTATTCAATTGAGCCGTGATAGCTCAGTGTCCGGGCGCTCGCCTTTAATTCAATATACTCGAGCAACCTGAGTTCGATCCCCGGTGCCGGCACCAATGAAGTTTTTAACTTTAAGTGCTGACTTATCACGTGCTCCGCGGTGAAGGAAAACATCGTGAGGAAACCTGCATATTTTCGAAATAATAACAAAAAATATTTCGAAGATATGTGAAGTCCGCCAATCCGCAGTGGGGCCGCGTGGTGGACTATGCCCTGATACCCTCTGTATAGAGGAGGCCTTTGCCCAGCAGTGGGACATGTATAGGCTGTTACTTCACTTTACTTTTTAATTAAGGATTCTTGCTCGCTCTTAAGAATGTCAAACACTTAGACATACGGTAGACGATCTTAGTCATTTGTAAAATAGATGTAATAATAATAATAATATAATAATAATAATAAAATATCTTTATTCACATAGACGCTTGCGCGTTCTTATGAAACAATGTATGCAAAACTTATGATAGCACAAAAGTGTAAAGCATCTTGTTAGCAAGTCAATAATACACATAATAATATCTAATGCACTTAGACACCAATAATTGATATCACTTTAATATCTCGGAATATGAACGTCCGAAAACTGTGTTGTACTGACCGCAAGGCCATGACACTTGAATTAGAGTAAGTGGTAGAACCCCTTACTTACTTGCCATAAAGGAAGAATGTTATTGACAATTGTTATGGTAGGTTCAAAATAAAACAAGACTTCTTGGCTGTTCATCCCAAACCGAATACCATACATGAGTTACGGATATTACCTACATTTTCTTCATGAAATAAACTCTGATACTACAGCGATGAAGTTACATATTTTCATAACATACATTTCAAAATGATATTAAAACCCCAATTAATAAACTATACATTTATGTACTATTAACAGTCCTTATAAGCAAACCGAAGTTTACGGCCTTAAAAATAATCATAAGTCGAGTATACTAAACATCAATGTTGACAAAATTTTAAATCCTGAAACAAGCAAAAAACGCGCAACAGAAACGTTCGGCGCGAAAGATTGATAAATATCATGTAAAAATATTCAAAGTGAGGCAGCACGGTCGGCCGCCATATTATTTTAACACTCTAATGCGACACGCACGCCGCCTGGCGGTTGCACAGTACTCACACGTTTGACAGCGACCGCAAGATGGCCGCCACCTTTCCCGCCATCGCCGCCGCAAACGCACCAATACACAGCAAGCAGCAATAGTATCACGTTTTAACTTATTTTCATGAATTATAAACTTGTTTGCATAACTTCAATAGCACTTCCAACATGGCGTAAATTTCCACTCAACGTTATCGACTATCACCGCGCGCACAGACAATAACAGAAACGCGTTGACACCACAGATAACGAACATTGTATAAACGCACCAAACTAATTAGTGCATAATTAGCGTGACGGAGCTATGCCTTCGGCGGCAGCGGCCGGTCGAATGAAAACCTCGACCATGTTGTTACTGAATTTTATACTCCATCCCAGCCAGCAGAGCCTCCAAGTTTGCCTCCTTCAAATTCGTTATGCATACAGCACCAAGGGCTGTTGAATACCGTTCGCGTTTATTTATGAACAGGCAAACTTCTGGTGGCTGGTGGGTACGGGACGCGGCGTAGGCTCGCCTCCCCAAGCGCCGCTGCGGCAATGCATGCGATCGCTGTGAAGGGCTTTTTATGTATTCAACTTCACAACTCCGTAGCTCATCTGCAAGTCGTATTATGGACCTAATTAACAAGTTAATATGGGCGATCCGGGGGCGGCGCGTCTGCGCGCGGCCATCGAACGATCTCCATTTCAATCGCTCTACTGTCGGCGTGCGAAATCGCGGCTCCGCGAACGGGTTCCGGCCATATTTTCGAAAACGCTCACCTGTGGAAAATCCCGGCAAGACCTCTCGCGGGCGCCGTTGCGACTTTGCAATGGTAAGGAGCGTTCAGAAATTCCGCCCCGCCCGTCCACCCCCCATCACAAAGTATAATGACATCGTCGCCGGCATTATTATGGGAGTTGTCATAAATATTTCATAGAGGAGGGCAGTAATGACCGAGTGACCGGCCGATCGCCCCGGCGGCGCCGCGTCATCAATATCATCCGAAATCCGCGGCTCGCTTGATATTTATCCGTTGCAATAACAAGAAAACTCGTACATCACGGTCCGTAAGAGTCGAAATTTCAGCTCGAGCCTCTTCGAAGTCGCCGTTTTCGAATTCAAGTGTCGATTTGTATTCGCTCCAAGTGTTTGCGATCCCTTATAATGTTATGTTAATAGAACCAATTACAGCCCCCGAGGATGCTCTGTTTATCGGAGGATAAGATCTTCGATCTTTTTGCTAATTATAGGCGACTTTACTGGACGGATATCTTTCGTATTTTATATTACAAATCGAACCGCAACAGAAACAATTATTTAATTATGTCACTTATTCTTCAATAAACGCACGTACACATTTAACTTTAATGTAGTATTGCATTGGTTCGTTCATTATTTTAAATGATCGGCGCCAGTTCTGCAGAGGAAATTGTTTGTTTATTTCCGTCTTAAAGTTGTATTATAAGCAATCAGCTGTTGTAAAAAAAATAACTTTAAAATAATTATAAACACAATTGAGCACTACTAAAGAGATAAGTTTGATTCTCAGGAAGCTTGTTATCAAAGCAATGAATTATTCATTTTTTGTTTGAATAATGCATTTTCAATAATAATTTAACATAGTTATTAAGCTAAAGTAAGAATGATAACGTTGTTTAGTCTTCATCGGTCTATATAGGTCTCTTATGGGACTAGTGATAACTGTTATTAGCATTTACTTATGGGGTAAATTACAAATTTTCAATGTAAAATAAGTAAAGTAAAGCCTGCTTTATAGTGCGCGTATATTTCAGACCGGATAAGGTTGCAATCACATAATAACAAAAATGAATTTACTTTGACAAAAGCACAAAGTTATGTCATAATGAAAAACAAGAATTATTAACGAAAAAAAAAACCGTTTTTTAATAGATTTTCAGGAGTTTCCTACGTAGGTATCTCCGAGGTCCAAGATTCAATACCAATGAAATTATTAACACTAGCTTTCAAATAAATAAATAAATATTTTAAGACACATTTTTTACACAACGTTCTCTAGTCCCAAACGAAGCAACGCTTGTACTATGGGTACTAGAAAACTGATAGACATACATAAACATACTTTTCTTTTCTAAATAAATACACATTATACATATATAAACACCCAGACACTAGAAAAACACTATGCTCATCACACAATATTTTTCCAGTAGTGGGGATCGAACCCACACCCTTTGGCGCAGAAGGCAGGTACACTATCGACTACGCCATTCGGGTCGTCATAAAAAATTATCATCAAAATCGATTCACTCCGTCGAAAGTTATGAGGTAGCAAACATAAAATAAAAAATAAAAAAAATTTTAACGGTGGTAGGGCCACACAGCAGCCTCGGCTGTTGCACGAATGGGCAGGCCCGTTCGGGTAAGTACCACGACCTCACAGTGTACCGGTATATGTCTATGGGCGGCGGTATTCACTTAACATCAGGTGAACCGTCTGCTCGTTTGACAACTTTTCACATTAAAAAAAAAAAAAAAAAAAAAATACAGTCGAATTGAGAACCTCTACCGTTTTTGAAGTGAAAAATGGACTTATTTTACAACTGATTTTCAGAACTTCCCTAAGTATCTCCGGAGCTCGAGATCCAATAGCAATGAAATTAATATGGGACCGCATGGGGAGCACCAGCTTTCAAATGAGAAAAGAATCCAGAAAATAGGTTCACTCACTCGAAAGTTCTGAGTAACAATATTAAATTTTAAAAAAAAAAATCAGTCGAATTTAGAACCTCCTTCTTTTTTGAAGTCGGAAAATTGCAGAAATATGCAGTAATGCGATGTGATGTAGATATAAAAACCTATATTCTGAAAATCTATACGTTTCGTTAAGAAAACTTTCTATAATCACTTCAAATCCTTTTAATTTTAAATTATTTTATCATCATGGTTTCTGTTCTCTAGAAATTAAGTCTGTTTTGTATTCAAAGTCACAGTAAAAAAAAACAAAGTTTGTTTTTCTATCAGAATTTGACGGATAAAGTTATACAGGGCAAAAATCGCAACTACCTTACGTGATATACCTAACTACTCTAAGTGATTTCTTACGTGGGCTAAAATTTGTTTTCTACGTTTAAAAAAAAATTACAATAAAAGAAACTTTGTAAATATCAAAAGAGTAAAATGTATGTTACGATAAACAGGCAGACCGACTTGTAACAGCTAAAATTTTTTCCAAATTTAGTTATGCTTGCCATATTATATTTATATTGTAGTTTATCACCAACGTTAGTTCTCCAGCGTCGAGAGACGAGGACGTGCCGCGAAGGTGGATAATTACAAAGTCCCCGGCTGGACACTAGGTCCTTTGATCATGCCGCTTTGATCGTCTGCTGTCAACAATCGAGTAAGAAGGACATGTAATGAAACACTATTTGTGAAGAGAAGTGGGGGCATTAATTTTTATCATAATGTGGTTACTGTGGTTACGTAAGGCAGTAATATTCATCATACCGATGTAACTGTGCTGAATGGAAACAAAAACAATATTTCATCCTTTGACACTAATGGGAGACAGAAATGAGCATTTAAAAAATGCAAAAACTTGAAAGCTTGGTTTCGAATTCGTAATCTTAATATGTTAACCCCGTTGCCTCAGGCACTTAACAATCACTGACAATCGCTGTATCAGACCGAAAGTAGTGAGTAGTAAGTTTTTACGGCCGAAAACGATAACGAATTTTGGCTTCCGTCTCTGGACCGTAACTGAAACCGTATAATGAGGGGAAACAAGTGAACATTACCACTCATGTCGTCAGAGACATTCTGATCACATATGATTTAATATCTCTGACATTTTAACAATTCTTCACAAATTATGCTTTCTAAATGATATTTTTACGTAGACAAAACAATTTAATGTTTTTACGTACTACTCTCTGCGCTTCGTGTATAAATTGTTAAAGAATTTCAAACCGCTGGCTGCCAGGATTCGAAAACCTCTTATCTTCTTTATTTTTAGCAATGGTTGGCGCTATTTAGTATGCTGCCTTCACAGCAAACGCTTTCTGATGCGACATGATAAAGTATATCGGAGGATGAGATTTTTGCGCCGTATTAACTAATGTTAACTGAGACAAGCCATGCATGAGGCGATTCCTGACAGAAACACGAAAATAGTAAAGTAGATATTTCTTAGGTTGTGTCCGTTTTGCTCGCAAGTCAACGGCCACCGAGACGCACCGATCTCCTTTGACAACTCAAAACTTGTTAGACTCCGTATTAAAATTCAAAAACGACTCATGAAACTCTCCCGATTCCTGAAAACATTATTCAGGGGATTTGAATAATGATTTTGTTTTAGTCCCTGCTCACACCTCTCTTAATGTATGCGTGAAGATTATAGCGGAGACGGTGCAAAGTTTGTAATGTGATTTTTGGTCCTAAATAAATGCTTTTAAAATTTCAGTTCCTTGGACGTAAAAATCTGTATTTTGCGGAGATCGGACAAAATGTTCTTGCTTTCTTTTGTGTTACAGTTACAGATTCATACGACACCAACGTAAAGAAGTAGAGCCATAATGGTATGGAACTAATGTTGTTTTAACATTGTTTTGATTAAAAATGAAAAAAAAAAAAAGTAAATGACAAATTGATATATAAGATTATGTTCATGTGAGCTAGCAGTCTACTATTTTTGAAGAGCCTCGAATATATAAACAAATACGTTTTTGTATTTGTGTATTTAATTTTTATAAGAATGACTTTTACAAATGTGTAATTAAAAGGGTAAAGAAATTTACAAAGAAAGAGAATGCAAATGAAACTAATCATTCATCACACATTAATCACAAGCCTGCCGATGACAACGCAAGCCGTATTGTACTTTTCCCGCCATTTTCGCAAGACGCCATGACGCATCTATACGTTCCGTGTCTATCTCTAGCGATTCCTCTCAGTTTAGTCATAAAAATGTTAATGTTGCAAAAGCAAATAGCGTCTAATGTATGCGAGAGGGGAGGCGAATTAAGCGGCACGTTGTTTGTGAACGTTTTTACTTCTGTAGATGTAGATAAAAGTCGCTAAATTGAATCGTAGACGGAATTGATTCCGTCGCTCGGCCGACTGGGCGGCTCGTTCGTTAAGTGGAATCTTAATTGAAGCAGACTTCTATTCAGCTTATTTTATCTTCAACAAATTTATTAAGTGCGGTAAAAATAATACTTCGTAACTTCGTAAAACTACATAAATTGTTTATTTACATTAGCATATAAGAAAATACAACTGTTATGGCAAGCTATGTTTGTAGTCTATTAATTGTATGATAATTTTGTACATAGATCTATTTTTAAAATCTGTGATTAGCATGTTGATATGAAGAAAAAAACGATCAGTTAAGAAAAACCTATAAAAAGGTGGAAATCTTTTCTGTTTCTCAGAATCATATATCAAATGATAACATCAGGATGAAACTAACACCGTAGTCAAGCAATATAAGCACACAAAATAATAATAACTGAATTAATATTATTTTCACGATAAAATACAATAAACAGCCACGATAAACAATGGCTGGGGAAGAGAAATAATAAATACGGCCTTTATCAACCCTTCGTCTTATCAATATGAGTGGTTAGGGTGGCAGGTAGCCGGTGCTATCGACTCCATCAAGGGTGTTACAGCATCCTAGAAGTACAGCATGATTGATGTTGAGAGAAATATTGCGGTTAAATCTAACGGGACCAACTTTAGCCGAGGGTGATTCGGCACTATTTGAGGTGGAGGAAAAGTGTTCGATGAAAGCGACCCTTCTTTTCAGTTATTGTGATGGTCAAAGCGCGCATTATATTTGGCGAATAACACAGTGTAATATGATCGTAGCTTATTGATTTCTGAATGATGACAGCTGT